TTTTGCTTTACGTTTCCTTGTACATTTAAATGTGGTCAGGGATTTTTTCGTAGATACTTTTAAAAGTAGTTTGGATGTCATTGCACATTTCATTTGCCTGATCTAGCGTTAAAATTCTATTCCAGTTTATGGTACGAATGCATTCGTTTATTTTTCGATTCCTAAAAGTTTGTCTGCGCGTTACTCTTTTTTGGTTGGAATTGTCGCTAGCTAAAGTAATTTCACCTAAGAGCGAAAAGTGGTTTGTTATGGCTGTTTCCACTATTGCTGATGTTATGCTTAAGCTTTTCCCTTTGACGAACATATGAACATGCTGGAGCTTGTACCTCTGCTTATGTCTACTCTAGTAGCCCCTGATACTGCATTTTCAAATCCATTTGATGCAAGCATATTTAAGTATTCGCTGTGGTGTTCTTTATCGGAATTACCTATGTTAATATTGATATCTCCGATTAATATTACGCAGGCATCTTTGGTGGTTGGCGAAAACAAATTTTCCAGCTCTGAGATAAAGCTACGAATGTTAAGTCGCGGCGGTCGGTATATAGCAATCAATGTGCACGAAACATTGTTTTTGTTAATGTGCACCTCCACTGTTTCGAAGAAATGAGTTTCATGCATTATGTAGTTAAAAATAAGACTTTCTCTTACAAATACTGCTATACCTCCGCCTCTTTTGCCTGCTGTGTTTAGGTACTGTGAGCTAAAGCCATTTATGTTGAATAGGTTTTGCTCTTCATTAGTAATGCTTGTTTCTACCAATACGATAACATCAATATTATCTACGAGATGGTTTATTGTTGCTCGAAAGCTATGGAAATTCGTTCTCAAAGATCGAATATTCAAGTAAATGTACGATAAATTACAGTCTTTAATAATGCTTATTTCAAATTCGTTAAATGTTGAATATTTTAAGTTAGTAATAGTGTTAATAAATGTGGAAATAAATTAATGTTTATAGAAAGTAAATAGAATCTTTAGTTTTTTTTTTAAATTTGTTTAGGTTATTTAATTAGGTTTATATCTGACTCGGTGTTAATGTAAATAAATTTGTTGTTTTCGCTTATTTTAGCTAGTATCCTCCCTTCCCTCACCCACACGAATTTCCAATTGCATGCTTTTGCTTTGTTTTTGGCTATCCGTAGTAATTGGCGGTTTGTTGCTGTCAGCTGGTCGTTTACGTACACTATTTCATTGTTGCTTTTTGTTATGTTGTGGTCAATTTCACTTGCATTTATTCTCCTTCGCTTCATCTTGTGCATAAGCTTACGCTTAATGTGCATATTAGAGAACTTCACGACGATGTTGTTATTATTATTATTGTGTCAACAAGCACTCAA